TTTGGGGCTTGGAGCAGCCTGGGATAGTGGAAGGTGTCCCTGCCCATGGCAGGGGGTGGAATGAGGTGATCTCTAAGGTCCCTTCCCACCTAAACCATGCTAGGATTCCACAGTTCTCAGAGGGATGTGTGTCCAGGTGTGACATGGAAGGCGAAGGTTTCCAGCCAACGAGTTATCCTTTGCTTCCTGGGCTCCACCTGAGACCCAAACCCTGTATTTTTCTTGGCCTCTGAGGCCCTTTAAGAATCAAAAGCTCCATCTTCTGGTGTGGTGTGTTGCAGAAGCCTTTTGTTAGCTTCACACTTCATAGATACTAGGCAGCATTGCTGCTGGATGCCTTTCATGTTCTCCTTTGAGGCATCACAGGACTGCAACCCCACCTGCTGCTGGCACAACAGGAAGAGAAACAGCCCCTGGCATCAACTCTGTCCCCACTGCCACCTTACAGGGGCAGGTCTGCTGCTGCTGAGTCACCTCCTCTGAGGCACACCGTGGCACGTTCCTCAGCCCTCAGCACAGGGACTGGAGCTCATCCTGTCCTGGGCTATCCCAGGACAGCTGGTGCCCTGCTGTTTTCTCCTGCAGCCACCAGGCTGTGTGCCCAGGGTGCTGGCTGGTGCCTCTTGCCGAGCACAAGGGTAAACCAGGCACAAATCATCTGTCCCTGGCATCCTGCGCTGGGAAAGGGAGTATCACCCTGATTTTAGCAATGAGAGAATGTCAGCTCTTGTGCAACTCCTGCCAGATAAGCACAACTCCCTGGCAGTAACCTTGGAGAGCATGGCTCAAGTAAAAGAACCTGACGAGGGAAGCAGTCCTTATCTGCTTGTAGCTCTCCCAGTTTAAAGTCCCTTTGGCTAGGCTGGGATATCTCTGGTTATTATTGTTACCTTTGGCAGGGTTTTGCCTGCGCTGGAGTTGCACAGTGGAGCTTGAGGAAGCAGCTGATCTTTTCACAACACCTTGTTGGAGTTGTTCGGGCAATCATTCCATTCGCTACAATGAAATGCAATAAACAGAAGCATAAATGTTCCTGAATGTGGATTGGGAAATCATGGAGATGTGATCACTGGTGCTTTTTCTCCAGTAATTCCCCCCCTGTTCCTGCGTTCAGAAGATCCCAGAACAACCCTGAACTTCCTCTACTTCTTCCCTCATCTCTCTTCATTGAACAATTGGTTTTAAAGAGTATTTTACAGCTAAAAGAGTTTGGTTTGTGGGTGAACAGACCTGGCACAACGTGAGCAAAATTTCTCAATAAAGAAGTACCTACAGTTTTCAAATTTGGTGCAGTAGTGCTCTTGAGATTATTTTCCAGCATCCTGGAGAAAAGCTGATCTGGCTCAGCTTTGCCAAAGCCCTGGTCAGGGCTATCAGAGATGTTTAGGGAGCAGGAACATGTCCCACAGGATTGATTCCAGGGAATCAATCACAGAATGAACTAGGCTGGAAAAGACCCTTATGAGATCATCAAGTCCAAGATGTGACCTAGCACCTCCTCATCGACTAAACCATGGCGCTGGGTGCCATGTCCAGTCTTCTTTTATACAAGTCCAGGGATGGTGATTCCACCACCTCCCTGGGCAGACGATTACAGCTCCCAACCACTCTTTCAGTGAAGAATTTTCTCCTGATGTCTAACCTAAACTTCCCCTGGCACAGCTTAGGGCTGTGTCCTCCCGTTCTGTCAGTGGGAGAAGAATCATCATGGTCAACGCTGGCTTGTGAAGTTTTGGAGAAAATGACATCTGATCTTGATTTCAGCTAACTGCAGCTTTCCATGGCCTTATACCATTCCCACCTGCTTGAAGTCCCATCACATGAAAATGCAAGTCTCAAAGGCCAGGGTCTCTCACTCTCAGAGGTTCAGCTAGCAAACTCCAAAGAAAATTTGAAAATTACATTGGCAATAACACAGAAATTTCTGTGAGTTCCTGAAAAAAAGTCAAAATGTTTTCAACCAAATGAAAGCCTGAATCTACTCAGCAATGCCTTTGGAAATTGTTTGCAGGCTGTTAAGGATCAAAAAGATGTGAAAAGGCAGCGCACCATCTGTCATAACTCGATGAAACCTTGTCCTAGATTAACTCTGGGACCAATCAGTTTCTAAATAACCCCACAGGCCAGCACGTTGCTTAAAGCAGACACCAGAGCAATCTCTGGATTACTTGCAGAAGCACCACTTCTCTCCAAGCCTGTGCCTGTGGGAAGGAGGCTGTGGTAGGGCTGTTCAGCACCTCTCCAGTGTGGGCACAGCCTGGAGCTGGCCCTGTGCCCCACTGCACAGCTCCTGTGTGTGCTGCTGTCCTTTGCACTGAGTGTGTGATGGTAGGAAATGATCCGTATCAGCCAGCACGGTGACACTGCTGTGCCCTGAGCGGGATGTGACACAGCTTTGAGCCCTCATGGCCTCATGTGACACGCTCTGCATCAGCACATCTGGAAGAAAATTGAATAAGAGGCTGAGTGACCAACGTCCTCCTCACGTGGAGGTGTGTGACTGAGGCTGGCTTGCCCACGCAGGGAGGAGAACAAGGGTGGTGAAGGCTTTGTGCTGCTTTGGAAGCTCTGAGTGTGAGAGGTTGAATTGATCTCCATGGACTGAGATATGCAGGACATTGATCTGTTGGAGCAGGTCCAGAGGAGGCCACCAAAGTGATCAGAGGGATGGAGCAGCTCTGCTGGGAGGAAAGGCTGGCACAGCTGGGATTGTTCAGCCTGGAGAGGAGAAGCTTTGGGGTGACCAAATTGTGGTTTTCCATTGCCTGAAGGAGATATAAAAGTCATGAAGAGAGACTGTTTAAAAGGGCCCAGAGTGCCAGGACAGAGGGAATGGCTTCCCAGTGCCAGAGGGCAGGGATAGATGGGATATTGGGAAGGAATTGTTCCCTGGGAGGGTGGGCAGGCCCTGGCACAGGGTGCCCAGAGCAGCTGGGGCTGCTCCTGGATCCCTGGAAATCAATTTTCTTCCGAAACACACCTCTTCATCCATTTTTGATCCTTTAACAGCAGAGGGGAAGCAAGCACCACAACCTGATCCAGCCACAACTTCACCAAAGTGCTCTGGCACGGGAGAATGATGATAAGGCATTGCAAACACTGAACCAGATAATTGCAGAAGTGGCAGAAACTTCATAACCTGAACAGAAACAGACTAAACTCTGCACTTTTTATGAGTTTTCAGAAGTTAAAAGTTAGCCCTTTTAAACTAAACCTGAATAAACGGCAGGTGGGGAACGTGGTTCAGTGGTGAGCATGGTTGGGTTTGATGATCTTAAGGGTCTGTTAAGGATTCTGTGATTCTAATTTCCTGCCAGCTTTGCAGAAGTTTGCAGGGCAAACATCTTGCCAGCATCTTTGTGTGTTTATTTGCCAAGGTGGAGAGGCTGTCCTGCATTTGCATTGGTACCCATGGCATGAGCACGGTGCAGTCCTGTAAGATGCTACTCCAGGGCACAGCCCAGCTGTGAGCAGCTGATCACACAGAAAAAGATGTCATTACAAATATCCTAAGTGAGGCAGCTAAACACTGGCAATCCAGGCAGATCCCATCTAACCTATAGCCTCATTCCTGCACCCTGGGATTACCTCACCCCGTCCTCTTTTCTTCTGTGGTCAGTTCCAGGTGCAAGGGTGGAAAGTGAAACACTTTAGAGGTGGTAACTCGAGCAGAGCCCACTGCACTTGCCCCACAAGGCACCACCAGCCCTGTGCCACCATCTCCAGACACCTGGATGGAACTCAGCTGCTGAAACCCCACAGTTTGGCTCCAGAGAGCAGCTGTGCTGGGCTCCATACCTTCCTCACCACCCACCTCTTCCTGGCAGGGAGATGCTGGTGGCACTGTGGGCATCTGCCAGCCTGAGCAGCCTGGAAATTATCCCTGAGCAGGAGGAGCATTGGGCAAGCAGCTCTCCCTCACCTGCACCTGGTAAGATGTCTGTGCTGAAAACCCCCATACCCACAGAATCCTGGAATGGTTTGGGTTGGAGGGGACCTCAAAGCCTGTCTCATTCCATCCCTCCCACTATCCCAGGCTGCTCCAAGCCCTGTCCAGCCTGGCCTTGGACACTTCCAGGGATCCAGGGGCAGCCACAGCTTCTCTGGGCACCCTGTGCCAGGGCCTGCCCACCCTCCCAGGGAAGAATTTCTCCAGAGTTTTAACCTCTAGTTAACAGTACAAACACAGAGCCCAGTAGACCCTACCAATTTATTATTATTATTATTATTATTATTATTATTATTATTATTATTATAATATTTGTAATAATAATTATTTGAAAGAGAACCTTATCCTTTGCCCTGCTTGCTCCCAGGCATATCCTAAGAAGATAGTTACACGAACCAGCAAATTCACAATTCGTCCTCTGATCAAAGTATTATTAACAATTTAATCCAGAAGCTGAAAACAGATTTAGACTCGTTACTGCTTTCTACCACACTCTTCTTCTGTGTCCCACAAAAGAATTCCCTGAGAGGCACCAAAACGTGGCCTTTGCAGCTGGGTTTGTGCCTTAGAATAGCTTAAAGTAGTGCAAAATGGTGTTTCCTGGTAGAAATTATTGAAACTCCTTTGTTAATAAGTAAGATTATCCAAATCAGCATGAATCTGAGAAAGATGTCTCCTTTGTTAGTAAAATGGGCAGTTCTCATGGAAAAAAACCTTTGGCCACTCCTTCTTGTCACCAGGCAGGAAATTTATGGCTCCTTCTGAACGTGAAAGAAGGCAGTGAGTGTCAGGAGTTTGGGATTCTTGGTGTGGAAGTGTTGCCAGAAGGAGAATAAAGCAACGCAGGATCCGTCCACCACGCGGTTTCATCCCAGCAGACCTGTTCCTGTGGTGGGACACCAGCATCCAGGAGGGCACGCAGCTTCTCTCCAGCTGTTTGCAGCTGGGAAGCCAAGCTCAAGGAGCCCAGAGTCCACAATGGCCACCAGGAGCCAAATTCCACCGAAATTGGTTGTTGCTGGAACCCCTTGTGAGTGAGGCACACGGGAGACCCCACAGTTTTTCTTCATTTTTTTTTTTTTTTTCCGCACCCCCAAATGAAAGAAGCCCCAGAAGGCACTGAGAAGCCAACAACCACTGCCACTGCTCCAGCTCTAGGTGCCCTTCTCCATCAGGTCAAGCATTTCTTTGTACACCTGCTCGTAGACCTGCTTGCCCCAGAGGAAATCAAAGTGGACGAATTCGGGGATGTACTTTTTGTAGGCCACGTTGGAGATACGGGGCAAGGTGATGTTCACATCTTCAGGGACTGAAATCCAGTCCTGGCCCCCATACCAGGCAGCCAGCGGGGTTTTCATGTTCTCCAGCTCATAGAAGGGAGGAGTGGTCTGGAAGACAGGAGGGAGGTAAAGGGCTAGCCAAAAATTCAAAGTGTATCCTGATGGCTGCTTGGAATTTCTCCCGTATCCCAAGGGATGGAAGAAGAACTATCACCAGGGAGCCTCACTATGCCTTGGACTCTTGTTCTTTTCACCAGAGGGTCAAAATGTCACCACTGAGTGACTTTTTTTATTAGAAAGTGACAAACTTGCTCCCCCATATAAATTAAGTTCCATAAATACCGTGGAATTCACAGAACCACAGAATGGTTTGGGTTGCAATGAACCTCAAACATCATCTTGTCCCAGCTCCCCTGCCACAGTCAGGGGCACCTTCCACCAGCACCAGGCTGCTCAATTCTCCAAATTCTGTCTCAACCACAGCCATATTTTCATTGCAATATTCATTTATTTTTCCCTCTGAGCATGGCTCTCTCTTACCTGGTTGTAATGAAGCACGTTGTCACTGCCATAATCATAACGCTTGAATTCCCCTGTCTGATAGAGCTGGAAAAGGAGAGTTACGTTTATTATCCACGCATTGGAGGGGTCTCTAAGAAAGGGAAAGGAGGTGACAGGGGACTGCACTGCTCCCTCCTGCCACCGAGGCCCAGATAAGCGATTTTTACATCTGGTACTGGATTTTGGGAGGAGAGCTCAGCCTCGTGCCCAGCTCGGCACGGAAACCCATGGGGAAGAACCTGGTGTACAACCAAGAACGTCAAAGGAGACACGAATCACACCTTTGGACAAGTTTTTTGTGTGTTGTGGTCAATGCCACCAGCAGAAGGACGTGAGCAGAGTTTTTTCAATAATTAATTGTGTCATTAGTGGTCATTAGGGTCATTACTGACCCTCAGCCTTTGCTCTGGCATCTCCTGTCCTGGTTTATCACCAGTCTTTGTTCCACCTTCTACAAGCCCCGAGGACTCTTGGACCTCTTTTGTTGGAATAAATAACTTAAATAAATAAATAAGCAGTGTTCCAGGGCAGCATTCCTCTCTCTCCCTGCTCAGCTCTGCAGGGGGAGAGGCTGGGGATAATTCCCAACCCCTGAGCAGAGAGAGGAGAACACGAAGCGTTACCTGGCGCCAGTGCAACATGTTTTTTAGGGATGTGGAATCAGGGTAGCGGGCCAGGTAGACATCAACGCGGCTCTGCGGGAAACCATTGGAGAGGTTTGTTCTCCGCCCCCCCAAAAAATTCCACGTCAGAAATAAAACCAAACCTGCTCAGTAGCCACACTCACACAGAGCTGAGCAATCCCAAAAAATGGGAGGCTGGGCCATGTTAGGAGTCTGTTTCCAAGACAAAGAAAAGCTCCATATCTCGTGCTCAGGATCTTTTTTGCAAAGACGAAGCTCAACTCATGGCAGTAGCTCTATGTGTTGTTCCTAACATGCTTCCTCCTTGGAATATTAAGGAATTACACCAACGCTTCACTTGAGAAACCCCCACCCTTCCCAGGTGCCTCCAGCCTGAATTTTTCTACCAATCAAAGAGGTGAAAGGCCACGTGGAGGCGGTAGATGCCAGCTCAGGCTGGGAGAGTGAGAGAGCGGATCTCTTGAGAGGGGAGCTGGGGTGTACGTACCTCGTTCAAGCTGTTGGTAAACCCACCGGGCAGGTAAAAGACAAAAGAGCACAGTGTTTTCAGCATGGGGTAGGTGCACATTCTGGAAATCACTTGCTTCAACACCTCATCCTTATCAAAGACCACCGTGTGCCCTAAAATGAGCTGTGGAAGTCAGAGGGGTGTATCAGTGGGCTTCACGTTCTTTTTTTTGCCTCCAGGTGCTCCCCACCTCTTTGCTCACCCTTGAAAGTTGCTGGCAGCTTTGCTGTGCTTTGTCATTTTGGCTTTTCAGAAATGGCCACGGCCCTGGAAGAGCCCTGACCTTCCTAGGAGAGGTTTCTCCTGGGAGAAGGGATCCCAAACCAGTTCCTATGAATAGTTCTCTGTTTAAGGCTGGACAGGAAGATGACTTCCCTGCCCTCCAGGCTCACAGCGCACGCACGAACTCTCAGAGCAGGGAGGCGGAGGTGATGTACGAGCACTGCGTGTTTCAGGTGACCTTCCCAGTCCCTCCTCCCCATCACACCTCAGGTGTGCCGAGGACATACCTTAATCAGCGCCTCGGGAAGGTCAAACACCCTCACCAAGGGTGACTTCATGTTTGAGTTCACGGTGATGGGAGCCAAGGCAAAGAACATCTTGATTTTACGATCCAGTTCGGGAATGGATGAGAAGGCAATGAAACCTGCGTGAGGGAGAAGGAAGCAGACCCTGCCCTGTTGTTTCTGAGGGAGCTGTTGACTTCCAGGTGTGTGTCCCCATCAGAAGGCCCCTCAGAGGTGGCTCCAGCAGGTTGGGCCCTGGCAGCAATGTGATGCGCCCGGTTTGGGGCTGCCACTGCTCAAAACCCTTCTGTTAAAGCAATTACCCGCTCTTTTCCCTTTTGTTGTTTGGAAATGCCTGGACATTACCCTCCCTGACCAAGGTTTTAGGAACACTCCCAGGCTGGGGGTGCACAGCCAATGTGGCTCTGCCAGCTCTGCTCTCCTCCCCCTCCTCCTCAGTACCTGTGGTGGTGCCTTGGGAATAAGCCACGTAGTACAACTGCTCCTGCCCTGTTTTCTGCAGGATGTAGTTGATGGTGGCTGGAAGGTCATACATGGCCATCTCATGGAAGCTGCAGGGGAGACAGGCACGCGACAAAATCACTCTTGCTGAACTTGCCGTGGCTACTTGGGTGCGGGCGAGAGCTCTGGCAGGGATGGGCGACCCAGTTTCTGCCCACTGGCAGAGGGTGTGCCTGTCAGGAGCACCCCTCCTCCAGCCTGCAGACACTGCTGAGGGTACCAGGGACCTGCCCACCCTCCACTTTCACAGGAAATACCTGTAGGCTGAGTATTCCTGCTGGTAGAATTCAAACTCTTCGTGTTTCCGCGACCAGCTGTTCCCGCGGCTGTTCCCGATCCAGACGTCGTAGCCAGCGTCGGCGAGGATGAAGCCCAGGCTGGCGTTGGGCAAGTTGGTGACCCAGTTGCTGCCCTCCAACACCAAGCCGTGCTGCAGGAGGACCACGGCCTTTGGAGCTGGAGGAAGAAGAGGAAGGAATCATTTTCTCTGACCACGAGCAAAAGTTGATCATTCAGGTCCAGGTATTGCTTTGGCAGCTCCGCCCTGGGAAGTGACACCAGTGCAGGGACACGGCCACCTCCGTCCTCAGTCTCTCTGGGGAGGTGTATTTGAAGAAGGCCAGGGCAGAGACTGGAAATGTGGGGAATTTTTACACTTATTTGCCATATTCATGTGCGTATACCTACGTGCTTCCCAGGGGAGGGGGGCACTGCCGAGAACCAGGCGTCACCCCCCCACCATTACTTTGAAACAGGGGCTTCAGTGCAGGAAAATCCCAAAATGGTGAGATGGCACTGAACTGGACACAGGAAGGATCCCAAAGAGTCAGGTGGCATTGGATTGGCCACCTGGTTTGGTTTCCTTTCCTGACTAATGGCTTTTTGCTGCTCCACTGTCTGGTTTTGAGCTGAGGTAAAACCTGGGGCGAGATTTCTCTGTCCCATTCTTTCTCCTTCCTCTTTGGAGGAAATCCTCTCAGAGCAAGGTCAGCATGGTGGGCACCCACATCTCTTCTGCTCCCGAGGCTATTTGCCTGATTTTTCCTTCAGGGAAAGCTGCCTCTTGGAGGACCCAGCCCATGGTGAGGTAGCCTTGACCGTGGGCCTCCTCCAGCCCAGCAAAGCTGTCAGGGTGCCCAGAGCAGGCAGAGCCTCCTGTGGCACTTACGGGGACAGAACATGTTGGATGCCTGCGCTCCTGCCTTGTGGGAGATGCTGAAGCTCTCCTGGTTGTCTCTGGCGTGGGGAATCCTCTGCAGGGTGAGGTAATAGCCATCATCTGTCAGCACCTCGTGCTCCTCATAGGGGTACCCGTGGTAGCGGACGATTTCGCCCTGTGGGAAGGGAAGGACAGCATGGGACGGTCCCCAGGGAGGGAGGGTCTCTGTCCTGAGGGGTGGCAGGGCTTGGCTGGGCAAAGCCATCAGTGCTGGAAGTGACTCCAGGGGGAGGGTGGGCTCAGGACCTCCCAATGTCCCTTCCACCGACGTCGTGGCGATGCCACGACTTCAGCCAGAATTGCTGGCGGCTCCCTGAGCAGGTCTGGTGAAGAACTGTCACTTTCTGTGCTGCAGTCCAGAGCAGGGCAGCACAGACAGCCAAACTCCCAGCCTGAGAAGGCTGTCCTGGCCAAACCTGCTGACTTGGAATCAACCCCCCCAGCAAATGTCTGCCATAAATGTCTGTGTACGTAAGAACAGGGAGACAAATGCCTAACAAAATCCTCGGTGAAGACACACAGGGCCCGTGGGTCTTGCACAGACAATGACAGCGCAGGTAGCTTGCACAACCAAGCAGGAAAAGAAGGGACTTACAACATCCATGGACACCTCGGGGTTTTCTTCTGAGTTTGCAGCGATGAACATTGAACAAGAGATGGTGAGGAACAGCCACATCATGGTGCTCTGCAAAACATTGTCGTGAGGAGTGTGAGAGGCTTTGCTGGCACTGGCACAGGAGCTGGGGGGGAGTTCTCTTGATGTGCACTGCACTTCCATCAGGATATCAACCTGACCCCTCAACAGGCTGAAACCATTTTAAAACTCAAGTCCTCTAAAGGGTTCTGAAAATGGCTCATTTTGCTCATCTTGAACAAAGCCAGAGTCCAAATTCCATCACATTTTATTCCCACCTTCTCCATCAGGCCCTCACACTCAGAAACATGCACAGGTATGTGCCCAGGCAAACCTGGTTTTCGAGGGTGTGATTATAGATCATTCATTTAAAAGAATGTCTTGAATAGCTGGAAGAAGAGGTTGTTTTGTTCCACTGGTAGCTAAACCACCCAATTTTAAGTTGCAGGGCTGTGTTCTCAAGAAGAAATCAAATGATGTGGTTTGTTTGTGTTCTCTTCATGGCTGAGAGAGACCCTGGGATACTCCTGGCTTGTTTTTTGCAGACCTGAGTGAAATGCCATCTCAGGACACCCCTGTTCTTCCTGGGAAGGATTTTGGTGTCTTCCCCAGCTTGTTCCTACCACAGAACATCTCACTGCTGTTTTATTTCACAGAAACAGAATCACAGAATGCTTTGGCTGGAAAGGGACCTTAAAGATCATCTTGTTCCAAACCCTCTGCCGTGGGCAGACCCCTGCCATATAGGAAGGGGTAAATCTGTTGGAGGTGACAAATTCTCAGCAGAAATACTGCCTCAGCCACTTGGAAGGGTTCAATTCTGAGGAGCAGCTTGGCAGGGACCGGCCGAGTTCCCACTGAACGCTCCAGGTCTCTCGCACGCACCCCATTCCTCCTCTGGTGAAACAGGGGAGACCTGGGAGCACATTCTGTCGCTTCTGCCATCCTCCCCTTTCCCTCCTGCGGGCTCCCCGTGCTGCAGGAGGAGGTTTGGCAGCGGGGGACAAAATCACCTGCTCCCGCTGCTGTCCCCGGAGCGGAGCAGGGACAGCAGGGACACCCCGGACCCCATCTCCCACTCGGGCCACCAAGGGCTCCCCCCCATCACCCTGAGCCCCCCGGGGCTCGATCTGGGGACGAGATCGCTCCACGAGGCTCCGGACTCGTTATTTTAAGGGCGAGCCTTTGGAAAAAGCGAGGAGAGGCCGAACACATTTTTGCGGCGTGGCGTCAGGAGAAGGGCACGCAAATTCCAAATCGCCTGGGATGGCCCTTTCCTCTCAACAGTCGGCTCGGAAAAACATTCCCTTTGTGAGATGCCCCTCATCTGAGCAGCCCCCGGCAGCAGCAGGGTGTCCCCTCTCCTCTCCAGCAGCATCCCGCTCCTGCGCCCTGCCCGAGCGCTGTCGCATCCCCGGGCAGGGACATTCCTTTGGGGCCGGGACTCCGGGAAAGCCCTGCTGTCCCTCCCCTGGGGCTCTCCGGGTGCCTGCAGCTCTGTCCCCAGGGCTGGCACCCACGGAGGAAGGATTACCCGCGGCGGTCCGGGGGCTGCGGCAGAAGAGATGCGGGAGCCTTTGTCCCCGATGTCCCCCGAGCAGAAGGTCCCCGCTGCCAGCTCTCATCGGGCTGCTGCTCCCTCTGCTCCCAGCTCGGGAGCGTCAGGAGCCGCCTCTCCCTCTGATCCCTCCTCCTATGAAGGTGTAATTTACCTGAGGGCTGCAGTCTGCAGACACCCTCCCTACCTGGGAATGTTTTCGTGGCGCTGCAGAAGAGCTGAGAGCTGTAACAAATTGGCTGTTTACACCCGAAGGAGTCATTTGGCACCGGCCTTGACCTCTGTGACCCCGAGGATGGGCAGACTCCGGACTCTCCACCTGCCCTGGGACTGGCTTTGGTGCCCTGGGACTGGCTTTGGTGCCCTGGGACTGGCTTTGGTGCCCTGGGACTGGCTTTGGTGCCCTGGGCTGCTGCTGGTGCCCCTGAGGGCTGAGTGGGACCAGCCCAGCTCATCCCACCAAACTCCAGTGGGAAAACCATCCAAGCTCCTTTTGGCTCTTCCTGCTGCCCCCTGGCACGGAATGAGCCTGGAAATGCAGAACCTCCCAGTCCCAATAGCGAATAGAGGGCTGCTCTGTACAAAATAAAAAATAAAAATAAATCACACCCCAGGGAGGGAAGAAGCTGTGGATGGAGACTTCACACCTTGCCAGGCTTCCCTTCGTGATGCCTTTGGCCAGGAGCTGCCTGGTGCCCGAGGAGGTCCCTGCAGGGATGGGTCACACGAGCTCTGGGTGTCATTTTGGCTCCTCTGCCTCGGTGGTCACCTCTCCTCTCCTTGCCCAGGTGCTGACTGTGCACCCTGTGGGATCCTGCAGCCCTCCTGCAGCCAACCGCTGCCAGCTCTGGCCCAGCCACCTCTGCTTGCCCACATGCAGACACGCTTTGGAAAGCCCAAGTAGCTTTCCACCTCTCTCTGGAGCTGTAATGACTGGTCTTTACCAGGGACTTGCTGGAGGCAGTGCCAGAAGCCCTCCCAGCTTTGAGCCACCCTCAAATGAGCAGTGGCTCAGAGAAGAATCTGATTTTTCCCCTGCAGGGAGAGGAGGAAAGGTGGAAAAACAGGATTGGGTATGCCCAAACCAGAAAAAAAAACCCACTCACTCTTCCTCCCACCACCTACAGAATCTGAGTTCCTTTTGGGGACAGGACATCAGAAAGGTTCCTATGGCCCCTCCTGGTCCTGGCATCACATCAGTGGGGTGCCCCCCAGGGTGAATCACTGCACAGCCTGTTAAGGCATGAGCAAATCATAAAATAAAATAAAATAAAATAAAATAAAATAGAATAAAATAAAATAAAATAAAATAGAATAAAATAGAATAGAATAGAATAGAATAGAATAGAATAGAATAGAATAGAATAGAATAGAATAAAATAAAATAAAATAAAATAGAATAGAATAGAATAGAATAGAATAGAATAGAATAAAATAGAATAGAATAGAATAAAATAGAATAAAATAAAATAAAATAAAATAAAATAAAATAAAATAAAATAAAATAAAATAAAATAGAATAGAATAGAATAGAATAGAATAGAATAGAATAAAATAGAATAAAATAAAATAAAATAGAATAGAATAGAATAGAATAGAATAGAATAGAATAGAATAGAATAAAATAAAATAAAATAAAATAAAATAAAATAAAATAAAATATAAAATAAAATAAAATAAAATAAAATAAAATAAAATAAAATAAAATAAAATAAAATAAAATAAAATAAAATAAAATAAAATAAAATAAAATAAAATAAAATAAAATAAAATAAAATAATTAAGAATTCTGAGCCAAGCTTATTCCATGGGTTTTAAGAGTTATTTCATTTTCCTCCAACAAGCACCCACTGAAAGACATGGGGAGAGGAGGGGATTACTGGAAAGCAAGCAGGGGGTGAACACTGGGCCTCTTTCCCACCAGTGCTGCTGCTAGGACAGGACTGGTGTGACCCCTCACGGGGGCAGGGAGGGACCAGAGACCCCCTGCCCCACACTGCTCTCATCTCAGGGGTTTTTTCCCTAGATTTCCTTGCACTTCATCTGGCTGCTGCCCGGCCATGTGGGCACTGAGGTGTTGGGGAGGTCCTTGTCCATGGGATGGTGCTCTCCAAAGGAAACAGGAAAGCCTGGGCAGGGCAGCAGAGGGTGCTGTGAAAGTGCTGCAGAGGGGAACGAGCTCCTGCCCAAACCCTGAGGGTTTGGTATGTGGAGAATCCCCAAACCCAACAGCCCATGGCTGTCCACATCTCCTTGAGCAGGAGGTGCCTGTGTGGCCACCCAGGGCCACAGGAGCTCTGTGGGGATGGAGCTCCCTCCTGGGAGAGGATGGGAAAAGGCAGCCTGGCAGGGTTACAGACAGCATTTGTGTTTGTGCTGCTTTGTCGGGCTCAGAGGGGCAGTTCTGTTGCCTTGATAAGCCCTGCTGTAATCTCAGGCCCTCAGCAGCTCTGAGCTTGTCCCTGATGGGGGCTGAGGTTGGACTAGAGGTCGCCAGAGGCTGCTGCCAGCCAGCGTCACCACAATGCCCTGGCTGGCTTTACCTTTCCTCTTCCTGCAGTTGTGGAGGAGCAGGAGGGGGAGAATAGGCCCCTCCATGGATCCTCTGTGCTTTTCAGCTGATTAGAAAGGTTTTTGGCATTCCTTCTGTGGCAGAGAGGGTGGGATGTCCCTTTCTGTGTGCACAGCCAGCGCTCTTGAGTTTAACTTAGCGAGAAACTTGGGCTCAGGTTTTGCTGCTTTGTCAGAGACAGGATATAAAGTCTGCTAGTGAAAAAATCCCACCCAACCCCAAAACCCCAGGCCACCCCTGTCTCTGGTTTGCTTTCCTCCTTTGTCACCAGGCAAAGGTGGAAACCAACCAAGCAAGGCTCTGTGCTGAGCTCCCTCCCTACCTGATCATTCCACTGCTGCAATCACTAAACCCCTCCCCACCCTCCCTCTGGAGCTGTTTTGGAAACCAGCACAGGTCAGGGGTGGAAAGACCTCACTGGCTTCAAGGAGAGGCCATTGTCCCCTGGGTGCTGGGCTGAGAGTGGCGGAGCAGGGAGGTGTGCCATTGCTGCTCCCAGCTTCCTTCCCATCCACGTGTCCCCTCAGTGTCCCTCAGCTCCTGCTTGGTGGGGGACAGCGTGTCCTGGCTCCAGCTGGGATTGTCCTGGCTGCTGGCTGTGCACAAGCACAAGGAGCTCACAACTGGGACATGCAGAGAGGGATTTGTGCCAACAGCTCTCTGCCCTGGCTGAGAGGAAAAGCAGAGGGCTCGGAGATTTCTGGAAGTTTTCTGGATCTGCCAGGCAACCCACTACAGTCTGAGCCTGTCAGACAGCTGCCTTGGAGCTGGGGATCCCCCAAGGCTCAGGGCCTGGCCCCAGGGCTGCCCTGCTCACACATTTCAGGCTGTTTCCTTGAGGACAGCCAGGCTCTCTGTGCTGCAGCTGTGCCTCTGGTGCTCTCTCCCTGCCTCTCCAAACAGGACCCTGGTGCCTCTGGGACCCCTTTGGGCAGGGGGAATAAGCCACTGGGTCTGGTTGAGCCAACCCAACCTGTCCTGGCACTTTGGCCTCGGCCTCCACCCACCATCTCTGGGCTCACTCCGATGTGGGGGTGTCCCAGTAATCCCTGGGAACCCAAATCTGGATTCTGCATGGAGATCCAGCCTCCCCAGTGCAAACAGAGGGGATAATCCCCTCCCAGGGCTTGCAGGTGAAACACATCTCCTCTGCCTTGAGTGGAGCTGGAGGGTATGGAGTCATCCTTCCCGAAAGTGGCCGAGCCTGTCCAGGAGGAGAGGTTAAGGAGGTGGGGCAGGGGCTGGAGAAATAAGGGGGGAAGGCCAAGGGTGAGTTGTGGGCTCTCGGCTTGTCCAGAGAGGCACAGAGGAAAAACGGGGATTTGGGGAGAGGAAGGACCTCTGAAGGACCAGGAAAGGCTCATCAGGCTTCCTGCAAGCCACTGAGGGAGATGAAGGTGAGCCTGGAGGCCAGAAGCTGCTTGTGAGGACACAGGGACCGAGGGCAGCCCTAACCCTAACCCCTGCCCACATCCTGGTGGGCTTTGCTGAAGGAGAAGGAGAAGGAGAAGGAGAAGGAGAAGGAGAAGGAGAAGGAGAAGGAGAAGGAGAAGGAGAAGGAGAAGGAGAAGGAGAAGGAGAAGGAGAAGGAGAAGGTCTGTGCAGCTCTGTCTGCAGAGCTCTGTGCATCTCAGCAGCCTCCTGCCTGCCCCTGCTCTGGTGGCAGCCAGGGACACTGGGGACGGTGTGAGTGCTGCAGGGAGCCACAGCCTGAAGGTCTGGGCTAGGGAGAGGCAGATTTTGGGGAGCATCCCCCAGCCACTGGGCTCCAGGGTGGTGGGAAGGAGGAGGTGACCTTGGTGGGGGTCACTAGAGTGATGTTAAATGCCCAAGCTGTAGGAGTAGGGAAGCTGAGGGAGGGGAGCCTCATCATTTCTGCTGGTGGAGGATATCCCTAGGTCAGCTTGAAGATGAAGCCTACTTTATTCTCTGACACTTCTCAGCATGGTTTTTGCTCTCTTTTCTCGAAGGAATGCCCAGCTTTGCCTTGTCAGGTCCGTGCCTGGTGCTGCCTGAAGGGCCAGTCAGGGCAGGGAGCTCCTAACCCAGCATTTTGCCAGCTCTCTGTAGCTGTTAGCAGACCAGCCTCCTTCCCCCAGGACCTCAGCTCCGTGTGGGGAACAGCACCCAAAGGCCTCAAAATTAAACACAGCTCTTGCAAAGTGCCTCATCCTGCTCTTTCATGCCAGCATTTAAATCCAGGAAAAAGCCCAAACAATAATTCTGCTGGTGAAAACCACAACAAACGGGTGTCTACCCAAGCCAGAGGTATTTTGCACTGATAGAGGAAATATTTTGCTCAGCAGTGGTATCACCCCAAACCAGGGTGAACAGGAGGCTGGGATGGAGATGGAAACCCTAAAGGTCCCTTCCCACCACCACCACTGCTCTCCTGGCAGGAGGAGAGGTGTTGGGGCTGGAAAAACCTGGTTAAAGGAGCCCGTGGGGCATGGTGGAGGGCTGATTGCCACCCCTGCCCACGGAAGATTTGCTTTGCACCCTTTTGATATCCGCTCTCAGGATGTCCATACTGACAAAATTCAGTCACTGTCACATGCAAGTGGTGTTTCTTCCTCCTTTCCTGGGTGAGATTTGCCCCTTTCTTTTCAACCCAGGCACGGTCCCTGAGCCCTGTCGCTGAGCCTGGTGCTGACACGCAGAGCTGACACGTGTTACCAACCCCTGGAAAGCCAGGATGAGCAGCCAGTGACCTGTCTGGCAGCCCCAGAGCACAGGCAAAGCAGCTGGAATGCTGAGGAATGCCAAAAATGCAGCTCCCAGCTGGAGGACACCACCAGATCTGTGTGTTCCCAAACTTTAGGATGTGGCTCTTTGCTGCTGAGCTCCCTGGGGCTTGGGATGCGGTGTCTGAATCACTGGGCTGTGTGACTGGGGAGGGACTGGGCTTCCAGCTGTTGATGGACAGGTCCCAGCCTCTCTGGGTGTCTTTATAAGCCAGAAGGATTGGTTCCCTCAGTGCCACCAACCCCACCGGCTGCACGGAGGGCCTGAAGCAGCAGGTCAGGCTGATGTTCTCCTGTTCTCCTCCTAGCACAGGCTATTGCTGAAAGAAAGGATTCCAAGCGAGTCAGGAGGTGTTATTATCACCCCAGCTGTGCATTTTATGTGTGGAGAACTCGGTGGTTAGACATTTTCCTGTGTCTTCATCCATTTTTGGCTCTGTGAGAGGGATGGGGTGCAGGGGCTTGGGTTGCATTACCCAGGGCTGGTGCCTGGGGAACAGCAGCTTTGAGGACGAGCAGGGCCCACCTCTGCCCTCCTCCAGGCTGGTTTCCCATGCCCAGGGACTCAGAGCTGAGTGCCAGTTTGGGTTTGGATGGTGGGATGTGTTGCCTGCAGGGATGGGCGGTTCATGGCTGGAGGAGCTGGCCCTGCCTGGCTGAGCTCTGAGATCTGGGGCTGGGCTGGCCTCTCCTCCTCCAGGGAATGCTCTGGGCTGTCCTGGTCACCCGGGGATGGACACAGCTCTGACGACCTGTGTGACCCCGAGGCTGTGTGCAGGAAGTGGGGACTGTCATTTTGGCTGTTCACAGGGATGAATCCTTCCCTCTCTGCCACACCTTGGGACACCAGCAGGATGGCCACGGAGCAGTGGAAGGTCCCCTTGCACGTGGTGAAGTGCAGGGCTGGGTGCAGATCTAAGGGAGATGGACCATGGGGGCAGAATTTGGCAGGGATTTGTCACCTCTCTGGACAGCAGATGTAGCCCTAAGGGAAAGAAGCTCTTTCCTAAGTGACAAGCTCAACCAGAGGATGCAACAGGTGTGAAACTCCTGTGGGTTTAGCAACAAGAAAACAGCACTGAGGATCACAATGTTCTGGCATCTCCTGAGCAGGCCTGGCTCCTCCATCCCTTGTAACCCACAGTGCTCACTGGTTATTTCAGCAACTGGTCAGCCTCTGATGTCCCCAGGCATGGCCTGCAGCGTCTGTGGGTGAGGAGCCACTGCAGCTCCTGCCTTCCTGCCGTCCTTTCTGTCTTCATTCCACACACAGGTTGAGGTTGAGAGATTTTAGGGACTAAAATCACCAAAATGTGCTGATTTGCACTGAGTCCAGCCTGCAGCTGTGGCCAGTGGGTTTGGGCAGCTGGGCAGGATGAAGGGAGATCAGGTTTAGCCATGTGGTTTGTCTGTGGGACCAAGGAGCAATCCAACCTCTTCGTCCCAGCAGAGCAGTTTAATCCCAGGACATCCCTTCTCGCCTGCATCTGGAGATGGAGGCACCGAGGTGCTGGTGGAGGGCTTGGACCCAGGGCAGGGCTTGAGCTGGTGCTCTGTTTTCTGCTGTGAGAGGGAGTTTTTGCTCTGGCCCACACAGTTGCTCTGTTGCTGTTTTCCTGAGCAGCCCAGGAAAGCTTTAATGTGCAATAAGGCTACAGGGAAAATACCCTCGGGGCGGGGGGCACAGAGCCATCTTGAGCTCCTGCAGCAGGATCATCAGGGAAACAGACTTTGCTGGACCTGCCCTTGGCTCTGGAATGCCTCAGGCTGGTGCTGTGGATGGCAGGGATGGATCCAGGAGCACCTGGCAATAAAGCATCCCAGGCAGGGATGGAGCAGGGAAGCTCCTGCAGGATGGAGCTCTGACATGACCCCTCCTGTCTGGGGGAGGATTCTTCCCCTGAAATGCTTTCCCTGAAAGCCTAAGGATTTCCCTGGAGGCACCCTCATGCTTTTCCCAGGCAGGGGGTGGTGGGAAGCTACTTGTCCCACACTGCAATTACAGCTGGACCAGATGAGAATGGAAGAGAGGCTTGGGGTGGGTTCCAAACTGCACAAGGGGTTGCAGGCACTTGCTCCCTGTGGCAGCATCAGGCTTTGGCTGTGCTGGGGCTGCACAGTGTTCCTTGTGCCCCTGGAGCACCCCCAGCCCTGCTCATCCGGCCCCGTTATCCCCCAGGTGCTGTGGACAGGTCAGATGTGGCTGCTGCTGGTGGCCCTGTGCCTGGCCCAGGGGCTGGAAGATGCCATCCCAGCTGCTGAAGCGTTCTACAACCCTGAGAGGTTCATGAACATCGTAAGTGCTGGGGGACACACCGCCCTTCCCCACGGGTATGCCCAAAGTCCTTCCCGAGGGACCAGCTCGGCTCACCCCTTCCCTGCATCTGCACCTGGCCTCTTTGTGGGGCTTGGGGCATCAAAAACCTCCCATCTTTGCCCTGCCTGAAGTCACTGACTTCATGCCCTCAGCTTGAGCTTGGCCTTTCCCTGCTCTTCCTCTGATTCCTTTGGGTGCAGGTGACACTGGGGAAGGTGGGTGGCAGGAGAAGGTGAAGCTGAGGCAGGCACGGGGTGCTGGGTCACCCTCTGCCCCCTCACCACTGTCCCTGCAGAGCCAGAAGATCCTTTTCCACGGCTATCCCAGCGAGGAGTACGAGGTGATGACAGAGGACGGCTACATCCTGAGCCTCAACCGGATTCCCCACGGCAAGGAGGACGCTGAGCTCTCAGGTGGGCTCAGCCTCGCCAAGGGGGCACCAGCTGTGACCCTGGCCCCTGCCCTGATGCAAGAGGGAACAGTGGGAATTGCTGTGCCTTCAGGCACGGTTTGGGCAGCTGGAAGAGCAATGAGGAGTTTCTTCCTGGCTGCCCAGGAGCTCAGCACTGTGTTTTGCTGCACCTGAGATGGGGCAGCGTGACCCAGCAAAGCCCCAGTGACTCTTTCCCTGCAGCTCCAAGGTTCAGCCTCAGAGTCTGGGATGGCAAAAGTCCCCCAGACACAAAAACCACCAGCACAACCAGGGAAATAATGGGAGAAGGGGGCGTTTAATGCAAAGCCTGCAGCAAACAGTATCAAGACGTACAGTGGTGTTTTATTTCTGCATAAAAAGATGTCTTCTTCTGCCAACTACCCAACATCTCCTCTTTCAGGGCCCAGGACCCCTGTGCTGATAGTGCATGGGTTTTGCCTGGATGGTGGCGACTGGGTGGACAATTTCCCTAACAGCAGCCTGGCCTTCATCCTGGCGGACGCGGGATACGACGTCTGGATCGGGAACAACCGGGGCAACAGCTGGTCCCGCCGGCACCGCAGCCTGTCCATCGGCTCCGAGGAGTTCTGGGATTTCAGGTCAGGGGGCCACCAAGGGCAGGGCTGGGCTGCAGGGCTGCCAGCGCCGAGCCCCTGGTGGGAGGTGGGGAGGGAGGTGGGAATCTCCTCCAGGCTCTCCCTTTTCCGCGCAGCTTCCACGAGATGGCCGTGTACGACCTCCCGGCCATGGTGGACTTCATCCTGATGCAAAGTGAGCAGGAGAAGCTGTTCTACATCGGCCACGCTCAGGGCAGCACCCTGGGTGAGTGAGGAGAGGGGGAGAGGCCAGCAATGCCCATCCCTAACTGGACACTGCTGGCAGCAGGGCTGCGCTGGCCCTGCCTTCCCAACCCTTCTGCATGGGAGAGGTTTGCCACGTCCTGCTCATCTATCCCAGGCTGTGCTGGCATCCAGGAGCGGTTTTTGTTCAAACCCTGCACCTCAAACACCTGGGTCTGGGGTGAGCTGGGGTTCGTGCTGTGACCTCGTGCTGCTTTTCAGGTTTCATAGCGTTCTCCAGCTTGCCACATCTGGCCGAGAAAATCAAACTCTTCTTTGCCCTGGCTCCTCTGTACACCTTCCGCCACGCCCGGGGCCCTGTGTTAAAGCTAGCCTTTCTGCCAGACCTGCTGCTCAAGGTACAGGAGGTGTTTCTGGCTTGTTACTGCCGAAATCCTGGGGCTTTTGGCAACTCCCACCCCCTGCACTGCCACTGTGTGCTGATCCTGCTCCTCCGTCGAGCATTGGAGCTCCTGACATCCTTCCTAACTTTCCCTCGTGCTCTTGCAGGAAATATTTGGAACCAGGGAGCTGGTTCTGGTGGGGAGGAAGGAGAAGCCGCTCCTGGTTGAGAAGTGCAGCAGGCCTCTGGCAGCTCAAGTGTGTACCGACACCATCTTCCTCGTCGGAGGCTTCGACAGGGACAACTTGAACATGGTGGGTGCACCATGTCCAGCTCACAGCCCTCTCTGTTTTTTTAATTACCTGGAGATGATTAATGAGGCACAACAATGAGTGAAAACCCACAAAATAAGGGGTGCAAGGCAATGGTTGTTTGGAGATTCCCTGCAGTGGTGCCAGGGTGTTAAACCTAGCAGAGTCTTTGCTAAGAGAGAATCACTTGTGGTCTGATCTCTTAAGGAAAGGAAACTCTTCCCTTGTTTTGTTTTTTTTATTTTCTTCCATTACATAACCAAAGAATGACTGGACCAGTTGTATTTCCATTTTAAGATATTGATTGAGTGGCTTACCTTTGAAAGCTGCTTCTAGCTCTGAGCAGGATAAAGCTACTAAAGAATAAAGAGCATATAACTTTTATATCACAGTTATGAGACAGAATGCTTGATTTTCATCAGTGTGGATCGAGGTGGATTTTCATCCTTCCCAACTCACTTAGAAAATACTTTCTTTTTCCTGTAGAGCCGACTGGATGTGTACCTATCTCATTTTCCAGACTATACATCAGTAAAAAATCTTCTGCACTGGGGACAGGTAGAGACTCTGATTTTATAACTACTTAAACTTTTATTTCTTTTAATCTGTGAAAGTGTTTTTTTCAAATGCTGCTTCATTCACCCTGGAAACAGATAAAGGAGGTGGAATCAAAGCCAAGAGATAAAAGGGATTTTTAAGCTGCTGCACCAAGGTGTCTCAAAAGCCATAGCTGTCCGGGGCAGGGGGCAGATCCAGGGTATTACCTGGATTAACCCTTTCCCTCTGCCTTCCAGACTGCAAAATCTTCGGAGTTCAAGCAGTTTGACTACGGGCTGAGAAACATGGAGAAGTACAACCAGGTGAAGGGGCTGGCTGGGATGGGGATGGGGAATCACACCCCAGCAGATAACAGGAATGCTCTCCCCCTTCCCAGCTGACGCCGCCCTTTTACCGGATTGAAGCCATGAGCGTGCCGGTGGCCGTGTGGAGCGGGGGCCACGACTGGGTCACTCCCCCTGTGGAGACCCAGCGGCTGCTGCCCCGCCTCACCAACATCGTGCACCACGAGCACTTCCCCGACTGGAACCACTTCGACCACCACTGGGGCCTGAACGCCCCGCAGCGCATGTACGGGCGGATAGTGGCTCTGATGGAGGAGAATCCGTGACTCCATCCATGAATCCATCAGTGAATCCATCCTTGAATCCATCCATGAATCCATCCATGATTTCATCCATGAATCCATCCATGAATCCATCCTTGAATCCATCCATGAATCCATCCATGAATCCACCCATAAATTCATCCATGAATCCATCCTTGAATCCATCCATGAATCCATCCATGAACCCACCCATAAATCCATCCATTAATCCATCCATGATTCCATCCATGATTCCGTCCATGATTCCATTCATGAATCCATCCACTGATCCTTCCATGAATCCACCCATTAATCCACCCGTGAATCCACCCATGAATCCATCCATGAATCCATCCATGATTCCATCCATTAATCCATCCGTTAATCCACCCATGAATCCACCCATGAATCCACCTATGAATCCATGAATCCATCCATGATTCCATCCGTTAATCCATCCGTTAATCCACCCATGAATCCACCCATGATTCTGTCCATGATTCCATCCATGATTCCGTCCATGATTTTATCCATTAATCCACCCATGAATCCACCCATGAATCCATCCTTGAATCCATCCATGAATCCATCCAGGAATCCACCCATAAATCCATCCATTAATCCACCCATGAATCCATGCCCTGCTTGAAAACGTCTCCTGTCCCCCTGTTCCACACTGATTTGACACTTTTAAATGCGATGCTGTGATTTCTGCCTGCCCTCTGTGTCTGTAGAGATCGCAATAAAGTCTTGCACCACAGCCAAGCTCCAGCCCTCGGCTTGCTGGGCCTGCTGGGTTTGCAGGAGGTCTGCTGTGTTGGGGTGTTTTTTCAGCTTTTGCAGGCTCAGAGCAATCCAAGAGTGAGCTTTTACTCCAGGAACTGAGCACGTGCTGTGGTTTGTGGGTTTAGGCACAGGAGGGGAGGAAAGTGACCTTGTGAGAGCCACTGGTGGAAAAAGGCCACATCTGGCCCAGCGGCTCTGAGCTGGGCACAGCTGGCAAAGGGCAGAGAAGCAGGAGATTCTCCTTGCCAGATCCTCCTTGCTGCACAGTGTGAAGTTCAAAAAGCGGTGATGAAATGTGCAAGGAGAGGCTGAGCCCTTTTGCACCTCACAAATCCACCCAGCTATCCCTCTCCAATCACCTGGGTTCTTGCCAAACTTTTCTTGCTCATCCTGTTTAGCTCCTTAGTGTTGAAATGGAAAAGAAAGTCATGACTAGAGGAATAAATTTCAGCCACTCTGTTTCCCCTGGAGGGGTTAACTCGTTACCAACTCTGGGATCAAAGCTACAATAATTTTTTGCCTACATTTGTGCCTCATTTAACAGGGCAGGAATTGGTAGTGCCATGACTTAGTTTCAGGTTCTCACTTTCTGGATTCCACCTCATCAGCAGGGCTACTCAGAGAAAACCCCTGCAATCACCAGATCCATTCATCTGCCAGCTTGTAGGAGCAGAGCAGCCCAGCAGCAGGATGGAGGAATCCTTTGCATGTGCCTTTCACCTTGTCAGGGTGGGAATGGAAGAGGATTGCCAGAAGTTGGCACCAGGAAGATCATCTGCATCAACAGGGCATCCTTGGTGTGGCCCAGTGACCAGGACTGAGCTATTCCTATCTTGTCAGCAACTCCAGGACCCTGGAGAAAAGCCTTGGAGTGAAAACCTGGCCAGGTGGATGATGAGAAACAGCAGCTCAAGGTTTTCCAAGGAACAGACACCAGCATCTCCCCACCTCCCTGATAAGTGCCCAGCCAGCAGAGCCACTCATCAGGTGAGGTGGGTATGCTCAGCCTTGCAGCCCCATCTATTTATTACGTGGGATTAATTTATTCTGTTCATTGCACATTATTTATGACAGAGCCATCTCTGTATTACTTGTGCTGGCCAGCAGTTGTTTGTGGAGTTGGGCAGGATTCTGCCTGCAAGTCTCTGCACGTGGCAGAAGACACCCACAGCAGAAGGTTTCAGGACCTCCAATCCAAAGAAAATAAAAATGCTGACGGTCTGGGCAGATTAAACCTCAGCGGGATTAATTTGCAACCTCTGCATCCCCCGCCTTTTAATAGAGAGATAAATATGTTTAAAGGATAAAGCAATGCTCTCTAACCCAAACTGACGTCAGCTGAGCAGCTTGTGGGGCTGCAAAGCTGGGCTCAAAGCATCGATCCTCGTAAGGAAGGCATCTGCTGGTGCCACCAGCACCGGGACCAGCACAAGCCACACTGGGCTCTCTGCTCAGGCTCCGTGAAGATTTTCCAACCCCTGACCTGCATCTGAAGAGGGAAAGGAGAAGGATCCACCTGGAAGTCAGTCTGTCAATAGATTGCCTAACACCAGGTTGCCAAAAGTAAGGAATTGGCACCCGGGATGGGAGCCTGCTGCCAGCGATTTGAAACACAATGCTGAGGCTGGTGAGGGTGGATCACGTCTGTGCTCAAGGCTGCACACTTCAAGTACCTTTTCCAAGTGAAAGAAAGCCAGGCTCCTGTTATTCCAGCCACAGAACTGTGAGGATCTGCAGTCCTGGCCTCTATTTTGTATTGCTTCCCAATCCTTTCAGTGAAGAATCAACCTGCTCACGGAATCAGAGAAGCTCAGCAGCCGAGGGCCAGCAGGTCTGGCTGTCACTGCTGCCACACCAAACCTCCCAGGAGCCCACGAGCCCCGTGGCAAAAGGCTGTTTGTTTCTTTATTTAGCCTTTTATTTTACTTGGGGATGGTTTGGGGGTTCTTTATTCATTTATTTCTACACTTTCTGGGTCCTGCCATGTGCCACGAGTCTCATCTGCAAATGTCTCCCACTGCTGGCAGATGATTTATTTTCATTTCAGCCAGGATTTGGGTCACAGCTTTGTTTCAGGGTTTTGAAAGGGAAAGAAAATGTTTAAGCACAGCAAAAGGAGACAAAACAATCAAGGAAAAGCCCTTTTGTTCCCATGGCAAAATACCAAGTGAAGCTATTTTTAATTTTTTTTTTTTTTTTTTGGTTTTGGGCAAATTGTTTCTGCAGAACTGAAAAGAGACTTCTTTTTTTTAAAAAAGGAGATGTGTTTAAACAGGATTAACTTAAGCAAGAATTTGTACTATGGAAAGATGCTTAGAGAATCTGTTAAAGACAGAAAAGCAAACAATATCCAAATCCCATAATCTGATCACCTGATAAAATTTAGGAGCAATTTTCTTAGCAGAGAGAAGAGTATTTACTGGAAATGGACTGTCTTGAACAAACTGAATAACCAGATTAGGTGAAGAGCATTACCTAAAAAGACAATTTTACAGAAAGCTTCTTGGAATGAGGAGGAAGCGACATACTTAGGAAGAAAATGGGCAAAAAAAGAACTAAATCATGAATTATTTACTGCAACCAAAGTGGCTTTGTGGTAAGCCAGGAAATTGTAATGAGTGCAAGCTTCTCTTCATAAATAAATGCCATTAAGTTTTCATTTTGCTTGTTGGCTTTGACTTTCAGAAGAGAATGGCTTAGGACAAGCAGGGGAAAAACATAAAAATAAAAAATGTAAAAACATAAAAATAAAAAATATAAAATATAATATATAAAAAATAAAAATAAAAATAAAAATAAAAATAAAAATAAAAATAAAAATAAAAATAAAAATAAAAATAAAAATAAAAATAAAAATAAAATTAAAAATAAAAATAAAAATAAAAATAAAAATAAAAAATAAAATAGAAAATAGAAAAAGAACAAAGAAAAAATAAAAATAATGAAAAATAAAGAAAAAAGAAAAGAAAAAAGAAAAAAGAAAAGAAAAAAGAAAAAAGAAAAGAGAAAAAAGAAAAAAGAAAAAAGAAAGAAGAAAAAAGAAAAAAGAAAAAAGAAAGAAGAAAAAAGAAAAAAGGAAAAAGAACAAAGGAAAAAGAAAATAGGAAAAAGAACAAAGGAAAAAGAAAAAAGAAAAATAAAGAAAAAAATAAAGAAAAGGAAAAAAGAAAAATAATAAAAAAAGAAAAAAGAACAAAGAAAAAAGAACAAAGAACAATGAAAAAATAGAAATAAATAAAAATATATAAGAATAAAAAAATAAAAATAACAAAATTTTAAAAATAAAAAATAAAAATATAAAATATAAATAAATAAAAATAAAAAATAAAAAATTAAAATAAAAATAAAAAATTAAAAATTAAAAAAATAATTTAAAAAAGATTAAAAAATATTGTTTTGCCTCACAGCTGGATTCTCCTTCCTTGAAAGAAGCTGTTTCTTCTGGTGGTTGAAGTGTTTATCGAGGTTTTCTGATGAGCCTCAGGATTTTGGCTGACAGAATTTTTTTTTCTGTCAAAATTTTTACTGCTGCAAAATAACTGCCCTTTCTTCAGGCTAAAGAAAATAATCATCAATACATCACAGTGCCTCTGAGATCACCACTCAATCTTATTACCAAAACCTCTCAGATAAACCCTAACACAGGCACTTTGTGAATACCCTAAGCCCCTTTTTATTTGGATTTTACACATTCTGCTCCAGGATCACACACTGGACCATCTGATTCGCAATTTCTCTTCAGGATTTATTCATTTCTCACCTCTCAGTCACTGAGACAAAAATAAAAAGCCCAAACCCAGCCACATTAAAAATATGATTAATTACAATTTTTATTGAATTCAAAACCACTAGTACTGTTTTTTCTCTAGGGAGATGTCCTTCCAGTACCTGAAGGGAGAAAGATGTAAAGAAACAATTTACAAGGGCCTGGAGAGGCAGGACAAGGGGGAATGGCTTCCCAGTGCCAGAGGGCAGGGATGGATGGGATATTGGGCAGGAATTGTTCCCTGGGAGGGTGGGCAGGCCCTGGCACAGGGTGCCCAGAGCAGCTGTGGCTGCCCCTGGATCCCTGGAAGTGCCCAAGGCCAGGCTGGACTTTGGGGCTTGGAGCAGCCTGGGATAGTGGGAGGTGGATGGGCTTTAAGGTCCCTTCCCACCCAAAAACATTCTGGGATCCTAATTCTGGATTATTTACTGCAGCCCACGGCTGCAGCAAAATCACAGATCTGTTGGATCTCCTTCTCATCCACCTCAATGGT